GGAGTTGCTGTTTGTTTCTGCACCACCAGGTGGTTCTGCATGTGAAGCCTCCAGCAGGGGAGTGTGTCTGTGTGTGTGTGTGTGTGTGTGTGTGTGTGTGTGTGTGTGTATACTCTTGAAGAGAGTGCAGCAGGCAAGTGTGTCCCCGCCAGTGGTGTGGGTGCTTGTGGGTGTGTACAGCTGGCTATTGCTTTTTTGTGCACTCATAGATGGTATGGTAGGTGCACGTGAGTGAGTGGTGGGTGCCGCGTGTGTCTGCCTCTGTGGGATGGCAATGTGGGTGGGCTTTGTTTAGTCCTAGGAGTTGCACGTGTGTGGTGGTGTGATGTGGGAGTGTGTTTGCATTTGTGGGCAATGCTGTGTGTCGCATAGGGGGGAAGACATTTCACATCCCACTGGGAAGTCAGAACAGAGCACTTTGTGAAGTTTCCCAGAGCCTGAGGGGGCAGGTGGCATTGGTGACCCCCTCTGCAGAGTCTCAGGAAGGGGGCTTAGGCATGCCAGGACCTTGGTAAGAACAGTGCCAGGAGGAGTTGGGGCAGATGTCAGATTGGAGTCAGCGGGAGGGGTGAAGTTAGGGGGCTAATGGCAGGATTATTTCAGCCGACCATTGTGTTGAGCTATAGGTCATTCAAGTACTGTGGCCGTATGATGTTCTCCTGAGCACTCCTACCGTTACTGATTGCTGCTGCTGTTTACTTTGTGCCAGGTGCTGTTTTGGGCACTTGAGATGCATTTTGTCATTCAATCTTCATAGCCCTGTGAGATGGATGTCATCCTAGTTTACAGTTGGAAACACAGACTTGGGAAGATGAAGGAGACTTCTTTTCGCTCGTGCTGTTAAGAAGTGGTGCCAGGAATTGAACCCAGACCTGTATGACCCCAGAGCCCACCTAACAGATTCCCCTGACAAAGGGCCCTTTGTCTCTGGAACAGGACAACGAGAGGGGATTAGGACACAGGCTCATGGCTTTGGCTGCCTTTTCTAACTGACCTAGAAGAGGATCTATCTGGAGATTTTGAGGCATACTTGACCCAGGCGTTGCGAGGTACAGAAGCCTAAGAGTTTGGCTCAGATTTTAGAATTTGAGGAACAACAGTGTTTACTATATTTGGAATTTCAGGGCGAGTGGGAGGAGTGATTCCGGGCCTTGGAACCAGATAGATTTGGGTGCCAGGCTCTTGTGCCAGAGAGTATGGACTCTGCTCTCAAGGCCCTGCTGGAAGGTGGCAGTGGCCAGAGACTGACACGATGCGGGGTCTAGCTCACGAGTGGCCTCTGGTGGTCAAGACTGGGACCTGCAGGCTATAGCTCCTGTGTTCGGTCTTTATGGGGTGGGGTGTCGGATGGTCCTCCTTGGGTCTGGGAGCGTGGGGATAGTGCTGAGCTGAGTCACTGCAGCAAGGTGTAGCCAAGCAGTGAGGCCATAAATATGTCAGAGTTGAACAGATGAGGGTGTGAGGGGGAGGTGGGAGGGAGACAGGGTGTGGGCCGGAGTGAGACTTTCTTCTGGTCAGCTTAGATATCTCCAAAGCGAGCTCCAAGCCTCACGTACCGTGCCAGGCTGAGTGGCCTTGGCCAGCATGAAGTGATTATTCCATAAATGGGCCTTGAGTGTACCTTCCACTCTGGAAGGCACCCGCATCTGTGAATGGTGAGCTGGTGCCTGGACACTGCTAGGCCTGTGGGCCTCTGGCATTTGGAGCTTCTGGACATCTCTGACCTAGCGGTACTCCCCTACCCCTACCCCCATCCCCGAGGACCGACCAGGCCTCTCTCCTCTCCCCAGGGCTGCATCGTGATCCGATACACAGCCCCATGGCACATGGTCTTCTTCTCCGAGTCCCTGGGCATCCCTTCACTTCGTGTTTTGGCCCAGAAGCTACTTGAGCTACTCTTTGATTACGAGATTGAGAAGGAGCCCCTGCTCTTCCATGTCTTCAGCAATGCTGGTGTCATGCTGTACCGATACGTGCTGGAGCTCCTGCAGACCCATCGGCGCTTCTGCCACCTGCGTGTGGTGGGCACCATCTTTGACAGCGGTCCTGGTGATAGCAACCTGGTGGGGGCTCTGCGGGCCCTGGCAGCCATCCTGGAGCACCGGCCTGCTGTGCTGCGCCTGCTGCTCCTGGTGGCCTTCGCCCTGGTGGCAATCCTGTTCCATGTCCTGCTCGCTCCACTCACTGCCCTCTTCCACACCCACTTCTATGACAGGCTACTCGATGCAGCCTCTCGCTGGCCTGAGCTCTACCTCTACTCGAGGGCCGACGAGGTGGTCCTGGCCAGGGATGTGGAACGCATGGTGGAGGCACGCCTGGCACACCGGGTCCTGGTGCGCTCTGTGGACTTTGTGTCATCTGCACATGTCAGCCACCTCCGCGACTACCCTGCTTACTACACAAGCCTCTGTGTCAACTTCATGCGCAGCTGTGTCCACTGCTGAGCTCCTTCCCCACCCAACACCCACCCAACTTACCTTTACTCCAGAAATAAATGCCTGACACCTCCCCACAACCTATATCCACGAGTGGGGTCCTCTTCTGCTTCACCTCCCTTACAGCCCTCTGGGACTTTGTGGTCCCGCAAATAGAGAATTCCCATTGAATTTTAGCAGCCTCTACCCCAGGGACTGTGGTGGTCTGTTTATCCCAGGATCCTGGTGGGTGGGAGTGCCTGGACAGGTCTCTGTAGGAGTCTTGCAGCAGCTGTGTTTGGACAAGTGCAAGTGAGGCTGCTAATTTCTGTGGCAGTTAGGCTGTGTAGGGTGGGATTGCTGATGAACCCCAGGGTTGATCTTTAACTTCTTGAAGGGAAGGTGAGCTTTGTGGGAGGTGCCGGAAAGGAGGGTCAGGCCAGGGCAGGGGCTATGATTTCTGCCCTAAGGCCCCAGAAGGGCAAAGCCCTGCAGCATGAAGCACCATCCGCCTAGATCCACTTAATAGTTCACCGAGAGGCTTCTCTGTGCTCACTGCCGGGGAGCCTGAGCCAGATGGGGAGCTGAGGATGCAGAGGTGGCAGGCCTGCCTGGGTCCGTCACACTGCCAGGAAGCCACTGGTTCAGGAAAGCTGCAAGGTGTGTAACAGGCAGGTGGAGTGGGGAGCAGGAAGACAGTAGCACCATACAGGAGCTGGGACAAACTCAGTAGCCCTGAAGATCAGGGCTGGGGGCCATTTGACTAAAACAATCAACTCCATCTTCTTGAGAGATGCACTTGGATCATCTCCAGGCAGGAGAGGCGGCTTCAGCCTTAGAGTTCTGTATCATCTCTCATTCTATAAGTCACTGCTGCACAATGCTGGCACGTAGTAGGTACTCAGTAAATATCTGTTGATTGGATGAGCTTGCTGTGGTGTTCAAGGGACTTGGTGGGGCAGGAATGGGCTTTGATAATTTGACAGTGAAGGAGATGGCTGGCCAAGTTCTGGGTGGCAGCTAACCCTTGATATTCTCAGGGCTGATGGACTCTGTCTCAAGAGCTGAGCTCAATCTGCATCTGTCAGCCCTCTGGGACCTCTGGGACCTCTGGGACAGTTGCCTCCAATCCCGGTGCTGTGTGGTTGCATTCCTAGCCATGGCCAACAGGTGGCAGTGCTGCCTGGGCCATGAGACCAAGCTTAAGGATCCCGTGGCAGAGTGGGCTTCGTGCCCTCGTGCAGGGTTAACGTCCCCTATTTGAAAGCATATGGCCCCTAGGGTGAGAGTAACCAGCCATCAGGGACCTGCTGAGTCCAAGACAAGGAGAGGGGAGAGTTGAGACCTGAAAGCAGCCAGCCCGATGTGAACTGGACATTATCCACCTCTCTTCCAAAAGCAGCCATTACTGGGGCCGCCCTGCTTTGGCAGGACACCTACATTCCCCGGAATCTTGGGCCCCAGGTTTCTCCTATTTAGGATACTCGATGCCATCAAGCTGGGCACGGGTCTTTGCAGGGCCTTCACTAGGCTCTAACCAAGAGGCAGGAGCTGCCAACTGGATCCTATTCTGTAGTATATGCATCGCAGGCACCCAGAGATCGGTGTCTAAGGTGGAGAATTTGGAAAGGTGGACGACGGGCCTGGTGTGTGAGAATGTGTAAAGGAAAGGACTCATCTGCAGTTGTGAGCACCTGCCAGAGCGCCCAGGATGTGGATTACTCACTGGCAGTGGGTAGCCTTGGGAATGATTTGATAGAGTGCAATCTCCGGTGCTAGCTGGCCAGCTTCAGTTCCCTGACATGAAGGTCCACCTTGGATAACTGGGGTTTCTACGGTAGCTATTTGAGAATCTAGGGAGTAGCTATACTGGGGTGTTGGTCACTAGAAAAAAGGTCGCAGAGACCAAGATGCTTGTTCCATTTGGTCCCTGGCTCATTTCTGGGCATTAGAAAGGTATAGAGGCCTGAGGCTTGTCTTTACCCAAGCTTATAGCTGCTTCTGCTCTAGATTGGGGGATAGAGCTTGCGTCCCCTCTGTACCCCCAAGCTCTGACCTCTTCTGTGATTAATGAGCTGACGATTCTGCATCGATAAGGAATTAACCTGGAGCCCCTACCCATCAATAGTCAGGAGTCCAGGTCCCCAGCTCCACCCCCACCCCTGATGGGAGTGCTTCAGGCCCCCCACCCCCAGTGGACCAACCCTGCACTGCTTCTGCTTCACAGGGACATCCAAGTCCTCTTCCCCACACTGCTGCCAGGAATTAACTCCTTAACTGCCTCTGTCCATACCACCCCATCACCTACCCCTTCCTGCACACATACACACAGGCAGCAGCTGTTTATATTGGTTTAATCCATGTCAAATGTAGTTTACAAAGGGAAAGGACAAGTACCTTTGTATAGAATATACAGACACAGCATCACACCGTGGGGCCCACGGGAGGGGTGGGGGAGACCACTTTCCCTGGGAACAGCAGTTCTAATCCCAGGAATGGTTCTTGGTAGAAGGCTGGACAGCCAGGAGCATACTCATCCAGCCCCAATCTCAGCCCCTGCTTCAGCTCGGTTCCCATTTCCTGTGTCTCCCCTCTCCCCCAACTCCTTATAAAGAGCCCCAGGAGCTAAGACTAAGGAGAGGATCGTGTCCCTTGAGGCATGTGCCCCATGTCTGGGGGAAGAAATATACACCACTGAACACCGAGCACGTGGGAGAGGGAAGGGATACCATGGGAGAGAGAGAGGCAGGCACCCTGAGAGGTGGATGGGCCGAGCCCCCAGCCAGCCCTGAAGGGGGCACTGCTTCCAGGTGTTCTTAAAAAAAGAAGAAAATCATACAACCAAAGGGGTGAGGGTGGAGTGGGGGGCGAGGGGTTGTCCCATTTATACACAACATTGTAAACATACACAGTCTATATTACATGTGCTTCAGTCTGGTGTTTGCATGTCTGTCTGTCCGTCTGTCAGTCCGGGGGCTGTATCTCAGGAGCCTTGACCAACTATTCCCCCTCACTCCCACCTCCTTGCCCCACCTTGGGAACAAAACCCCGAACAGGTATGGTCCTTAGTTTTGGTGGGAACCAGCAGGCAAGGCCTGGGTCTCAGCCTCCACTCTGGCTCCAGAGTCGTGTGTGTGTGTGTGTGTGTGTGTGTGTGTGTGTGTGCACGCACACGAATGTGCACGTGTGTGTGCGCATGTATGTACATGGGGAACCTGTGTGCAAATATGTACAAGGGGGAGGGTCACGTCACAGAGGCGGGCAGGTGGGGCTGCTCCAGGCAAGGCCTGCTGGGGGTGGCTAGCTCACAAGTAGATTCTCCGCAGGTCTCCGGGCGCTGTGATGGTGTTGCACTGAGGGCAGAGCTTCTTGGCACCCTGCAGGGAGAACAGGGAGGGCTCTGGTTATGCACACTATGCTGCATACTTGCTCATGAGAGCACCTGGGCCCACAGCCATGTCCCCCTGCACCAGTTGTATGCTGGCACCTTGGTCCTGTCAGCCCAGGCTGGGGATGCATGGGCAGCCTCTGCAAGCAGGCAGGCATACTCCTGTGTTGGGGGGACGCCAGGATCAAACCGCCTGGCCAGCCCCGCAGCGGGAGCCCCGGTAATGAGAACAAGGCTGGGTCCAGCTGTGGCTGCCTCGGCCCTAACGAGATTACATGCGGCCTTTGATCAGGACACAGAGCCCACGTCCGGGCCTTTTATTGCTGTCTCCGGGCGACATTTTAATGGCTGCTCCCGAGCGAAGAACAGGGGCAGGAGCAGAAGGAGCTTAGTAATGGCAGGGGGAGGGGCTGAGGCCCTAGTCCTGCTTATCCACACCCAGCCTCCTCCTGACCTGGGATCACACCAATACGTGTGATACAGTGGGCCTTGGGGGTGGGCAGAGCAGGCAGTGAACCCTTGGAGGGAGAGAATTTAATAAAGCTGGTGGTGGAGACAAGAATGGGGGGAGTTTGGGGGGGGGGGTGAACATCCTGGTTTCCTGCTGCTGTGTTTGATGCTCGTGCTCTCCCCTGCCCTTGCACCTCCCTCCCCTCAAGCAGGCTCAAGCATAAGCATGGACATGTGGGTAGCACCGGAAGTAGCCACCCACTCCCCAACCCCCATGCCACCTCACCAGGGTCCGCAGCCAGCACTCCTCGCAGTGCACATGCCAACACTGGATGGACGTTAGGGGCATCGAGTATGAGTCCTAGGGAGGAGGTGGGCAGAGAAGGGGGGGTCACTCTGAGGCTGGTCTACCCTCTAAAGAGCTCAGATCACAGTGCAGAGGCCCTTTCCAACCCCCAGAGGGCACTGAAGCCTGACCAAAGGCATCCCAGGTTCCCTTTCTCTCACCATACAGATGAGGCATTTGTAACGGTCCCCACGGGATAGCTGCCGTTCAAGTTCCCTGACCCGAGCCTTCAGGGCCTCAAACGTGGTCACAGCGGAATCTTCGGTGATTCTGTGAAGAGGACAGCATGGTTGGGCAGGCAGCAGGCTGACATCTCTAATCTGAACCTCCAGCCCACACCGCCCTTAAATTCTAGAACTGCATATATAAATGTCTCCCGGATATCCCCGCCCCCCACCTGCCCATATCCTATATTTGTAAACTCCATCTTCTGGAATTGAACTCCTCATCCTCCTTGTTCTTCCACCTCCATCCTGGTCAATTTCCAAACCAGATACGTAGGAACCATTCTCAAACCATTGCTTCCCAGTCACCCTCGGCGCCCACAATCTGTCATCTAGCTCCTAGCATCTGTAGTCTCTCCACCGCTACCACTAGTCCAGGCCCTCATGATTTCTCCTATGATCCCTCCACTGACCTGAATGGCCCCTCTGCCTCCAGATTCCTCATTCCATTCTCCCAGCACCTAGAATTTTGCAAATTTGACTGTTTCTACTTCTAACATCTCAATGTTTCCCTCAGAATAAAGCTCTACTAAACTCCTCATAAACTGAGACCGGGGACTCCTTGGTCTAGCCCCAGCCTGCATCCTTCAGCACTGTGCCACACTTGATGCTCTATCCACACCAAACTATAAAGCCTCTCCACACGCTCCACCATTTTTCACTTCCTTGGCTTCCTGCGGCACTTTCTGCCTCCCCTGGGCCATCCTACCTCCTAACTCTTTGGAAGCCTTTTCCAACCCTCCTGACAGCACCACTGCTGGTGGCTGCTCTTCTGTACTCTCTAGCACCCTGCACCGGACTCCACCAAAGCAACACAACTGCAAACGTCCTTGTCTCCTGTACGAGGCGTAGTTTTCCAAGGGCAAGCTGCCCATGCCACCAATACTGACTACGAACATCAGCCCCCTGGCAGGCACGTGAGTATGAGTAAATGTTTGTTGACCGAAAAGCCAGTCTCACTCCTGGAACAGAGATGTGGGGACTGCATAAGTCCCACAGAATCCAGTCCTGGGCCACAGGCCTGCCTACCTCAAGGGCTCCTTGTTGTTTCTTCCTGGGCAGGCACATCAGATGGCCTGAGAGTCCTCGCCTGCTGTTCAAGTCCTGCCCGTGAAGGTCCCCTGTAACTTCTTGAAGACTCTTTGGGCTGCAGTACTGAACTAGCTAGTGAATAGCTAGGACTATCCTGAGGACTGATTCCTCCTACCCCTCCTAAAACAAGTGGACAGAACCCAGAGGAGCTCACCGAGGGAGAAGAATGCTTCTTGGAGAAGACGCTACTAGAGATGGGCGTTAGGGAATAACAATGATGGTAATGCAAATAAAAGAGCCAACATTTATTAAGTGCTTACTAAATGCCAGGGCCTGTACTGAGGGATTGAAAATTATTATTTTATTTACACCTCACAAAACCCCATGAGGAGATTCGAATATTCCCATTTTACATATGAAGAAACTAAAGCAGCAAAGGAACATTAAATAGCTTGCTTATGGTTCACACAGAATGGGGAAGGTGGGATTCAAACCCCAAAGACAGATGCTGTGATCAACCAAGAACTACATGACTAACATTACAACACTGGAAATACCCAGGAGGAGCTGGGTCTCCAGGTCTAGGGACCAGTAGGAACACAGGCTAAGAGGCCCAAGAGACCCACGTGACTGTTTAAGGCTCACCTGTGGGTAAGTAGACAATGCTAAAGTGGGCAAGGAGATTCTATCAGAAAAGACTTCAGAGGCACAATCAGAAAGTGAAGTTTATCTCACAGGCAATGGGAAGTTGCTGGGTGTGTTGGAGGAGGGCTGTGACAGGGGAAGAGCTGAAGAGCTGAGGCTACAAGATGTATTCAATCAGGAGAAAGAGCGGACTGAGGGGGAATTGTAAGTGTGGTGCAGTGTGGCAGAGATGTTCTCCTAGGGTGACCTGTCCTGCTAGCTTGGAGCAGATCATCGGTTCAGAAAGCCTGAAAGCTTACAGGTGGTCTTTCCCTGCTGGGCATAAGTGGTACTGGGGGGCACAGGGAGGATGGTGGGTAACATTCCACGGGCAACAACAGACTTTGATCTCTGACCTTTCTCTCTTAGGGCAGAAACACAGAATTTGAATTCGAATTTCTTAGCAGAAACACAGAATATGACTTCTCGATGGCTGTGTCCCTATACCAGAGATGCCCTAGATCTATTATCCATAGGTCTGTGACACCCTCTCTGCCCTACGTCTCTCCAGGGAAGCTGCAAAGGGCTTGACTCCATTTCCTCTAGCATTGGCTGATTCTCTGGAAGTGTCCATTCAACTTTCCAGATCTGGAAGCCTTCACCACCCCCTCCACCCTTACTATCACCAGCACAGCTGGCTCTTCCCCTGGCATTTTGCCCAATGCCATATGTGCCACCCCATCTGCTGGTAAATTCTTGACAAGGAGACAAGGATGGGTAGCTGTGCTCTCTTTCTCTCCCAACGACCATGCTGGGCATTTGCCTAGTCCTATGTAGTTATTTTGAAAATTGGGAAACAAAGGCCTGGAGTTGGGGGCACAGGGCTACCCCAGAGCTGAGCACTCTCAAACCCCAAATCAGAGGAGTTAGATATAGAAAGCAAACAGGATGGGGCCAAGAGAGAATGAAGCCATCTCCCCCTTTATATCCAAAAGCTCCAAGGCCACATCCAACTCCAGAGCCCACCTTATTGTGGATTTGCTCAGCATACACCTGACCTCTAATCTCTGCTCTGGTGTAATACCCAATTCTCTAGCTCCTGATCCAGGCTGCTTCTGAGTTATTCCTGAGACCCTCCAAGGCATGGAGTGGAGAATTTCCTGGAAGAAACTATGGCATCTTACCTTCCTGCTTCCCCTAGGTGGTGAATAAGATCTAGGACAGGAACCTATGTTGTATACGAGGAAGAGAGAAGCCATAGGGACTGAAGGGTCCCGATCTGGGCAGATCCAGACCCAGTGGAGATCTCTGCATATGACTGAGTGTCTATGACGCATCCCAGAGAACGCTGCCTACTGGTTCCTGTGCTCACACAGGTGGGACAGAAGTCTCAACTTTCTCCAGCCTTGGGTGGGTAGTACCTTCATGGATGGCCACTAGCTCTGGCCCCCACCTCCCCCTCGGGCGCCATCCCTGATTAATGATCTTGTCTTTCTGATTTATGAGCAGCCCCTCCAGACGAGGGTGGGCGCCCCTTATGGCCCCGCCCGCCCCGCTCAGCTGGAGTAGGAGAGAATTATTAAATAAACATCCATACGTCATTCCTCCCCCCCCCCCCCCCCCCCCGCCCCCCTATGCTGGTTGCGCCGAACCCGTGCGGCCCGCTCCAGCACTGACACGGAGCAGCTGCGGTGATTCATGGGCAGCCGGGCCCCGAGCCGCGGCCCATACATCATGCCAGCAGCACTCGCGGCCCCGGCCGAGATAAACTGATCAACCACAACGGGCTGGAATGAATTTATGACAACACAAAATGGAGGGAAACAAATGGGAGGTGACCCTGGGCCACCGACCCAGCCCTGCACCGGCCTGCAATCCACTCTCCTGGCAGGAGGCAAGATGGAACACTGGCCCGGAATGAAGAGGCTGCCTTTTAACCCCAGGCAACCTAGCCTCCAGCAGAGAGAGGGGTGGGGTGCGGGGAGTTAAGCAATGGCCAACAGCAGCAACTCCAGGCAGCCAGAGCTGGACAATACCACCTCTTGGGGCCAGAACTGGCCTTGCATGGGCTTCTGGAAAGACAGTAAGATGCCCAACTGATTTGCTTGTGGCTCCTGGGGATCCGGGCCAGGGCTGCCCAGCCCCATGTGAAGTGCTAACAGATCCCCTTTTCCCCTGCCAGAGAACACAGGCCAAAAATTCCTACCAGAAGTGATGAGACCCAATGCTCCTGCCTAAAACCCACTGCAAGCGCCACCCGGGACAAGAAAAATGAAACCAATTTAGCTCCCGATTAAGAAACAGAAACTGGAGATGAATCAAGTGCGCCGGCTGGGCTGGGCGGCCATACATCACATTCCCGGGCGGAGGCTGCCGCAGCGGGCAGGCAGGCAGGCGGACTACTCCTCCCTCCGCCAAGACTCCCAGGGCCGTGGCCCAGTGATCAATTCACAGAGTCACGCTTAGCACCAGCTGGGCCCCAATGCCCGTCGTGTGCCCAGGGCTGCAGGATTAAGTCGTGTTCTGGAGGCCAGGAGCCTTAGCAGCAGGCCTTCCTGCTAGCAAAGAGCCCCTCTCTCCCCCCTCCCTCTGAACTGCCATTCCAGAGGCCCCCCTCCTGGCCAGACACTCACTTCTCGATGTCACTATTCTTGCAGGTCTTCTGCATGGCTTCCTGTTTGCTGCTCTCACCGTTGCTGGTAGATGGCATCTCTGCTGGGACAGAGGGGCAACTCATACTCTGGCCAGACTGGGCAGCACAGGTGAGGGGCTGGGCTTGAGTCAGTCACCACCACCCAAAGAGGTCTCCTCTACCCATTAATTACTCCTGTGGTGGGTCAGGACTTACCGTCACTGGCCCATTTAGAGAACTCGGGCGTGATGCGTGTGCTGGGAGGGCCGCCACTAGGGAAAGGAGAAGAAAAGAACAAAGTGAGCTCTAAAGGCAGGTGGGAGAGCCCTGAGAGTGGGTACTAGGCTGACCCCTGCCTCAGGACTTCCCACCCCTCTATCCCACCCACCCAAGCCTGTGCCCACACTTGCTTTAGGACTGCACCCCGGAGTGCCTCTCTCTCCTTGGCTTCACCAGGCTCCTCGCCTGTGCAGGGGATGACGTCAGCTTCTGTGTATCTGGCATGGTGGTCAAGGACAACAGATCCTAGTTTACAGTAGGCCATGAAGGTTGAATCCTAGTTAAAGCTCAGACACTGACCCCAAAGGGGGGGGGGGGCGTGGATGGTATGGGCAAGTACCAGAGGTGCTGGCTACTTTTTAAATTCCGTTTGACCTGTCCCACCAGCCCCACCTTGTCCCACAGTGCCCCAAGGATACTGTGGCTTCCCATACTCCAGAGTGTCATCCCCATCCACATCCAGGTCAGCATCACTGTCCGGATTCTCCTTGCCGCTGCACATGACGAAGCCAGAGCCTGTGGGAAGCAGGACGTGAGGAGGGCCAGGGGCCAGCAAGACTAGGCCAAGAGTGCCCTTTCTGTTCTCCCTAGGTAGGGGTCAGGTTTTGGGCCAGGTAAGGCTCAGAAATTTGGGCCTGGAACATAGAAAGCCAATTACTTAGGTACTCGTGGCTCTGACATTCCAATCCCTTTCACTTTGCGTACCTCATCCTTCTCTGCCACTTCCTGCTGCTCCTAGTGGTCTCTGCTCATAAACTAGACCATTCGTACACTATGTTAGGTCCTCAGGAGACACCCAAGCTAGCCCTGCTGCCCACCTGTCTTCTAGGTCTAGGAAGAGCAGGAAGAAGACACAGAAATTCAGGTCTACAAGGCTATCCCCAACCAGGACCTGGGCATCCCCCTGTGTCCCATGGTCCAGCCTGACAGTCCATCAGAGGGAAGAGCAAACTGGCTAGGGCCAGTCAGAGGCACACAGCAAGACCCCCAGCCAATGTCCTGATTTTGGCCGCCAGGTCCTTGCCAGCAAAAACACCAGGCAGCTGTTCAAATATTTGGTGTCTGAAGCGCCTGACATTAATTATTCATCTCCACCTCACTCAGCCCAGATTCCTGGACAAGTGCAGTTATAAAGGGATTAGGAAGGGACAGATGAGGGAGGAAGGCACGCACACCTGCTTCTGAAAGCAATCCATGAAGACGAGCAGGCTGGGTGGACACAGGGCCGTTGGCCAGGCAGGTGGCTGTCCCTACCAAGGTGTGCTTGGCCTAGCCACTGGTAGACCCCTGGCCAATGGGGAGGGGGAGAGCTGCTGAAGTCACATTAGGCCCCCTTACCTGCTATGTGCTCTGACACCCAGGACCACCCTTCCTGATGGCCAGGGTCAGGGGCCACAAAGCCAATTGCTTCTCCCTCCCTGCCTCTGACTCCTCTCAGTGGACTGAGACCATACCCTATTGGCCAGCATAGCAACCGTGCCAGGACAGAGAGAGATGAAAACGATGGAATCTGTGGCAAGTAGAAGCAGCAAGAAAATCATCAAAGAGATGAGGAAGCAGCTCAGAGATTATCTGTCTGATAATCTCATAAATTTCTTCTTATCCATTCTTTCCACTCTCATCAGGATGACAATCTTGTAACGGGTCCTCTAGCCTCTTGTCTATTCCTTTATCCTGCTTACCATATGGCTCTGACCATTCCTTTCCCAGCTCCAAAACCAGCTATGGCTTCCCACTGCATACAAAATCTTCTCAGCCAGATCCGTCAAGATGTGGATGCACCTACTTCTCCACCTTTGCTCTCTTTCTCATTTTACTCCATAAGCCAGATGCCTACAGATAGGCTATTTACTGCTCTTCACAAAACCCTGTATATCCTGTTCTTGAGACTTTAGCTTATGCTGTTCACTCCATGTGGAACGTTCTCCATCTTTCAAGTCCACTTCCAAAGCATTTTCTTCCTGATCTTTCTTCTCCCATCTACACCTCTGGTCTCCGGTCTCACAAAGGCTCCATCCATCCCAAAGGCAAACAGCACAAGGGAAAGAGAGAAGCTAGGCACTGCCTAGGCTCCACCCCTCCCCGACAATCCTCATTTCCCCCTCTACACTGAGGCATCAACAAACTCGAGGCAGCAGGCAGGTCAGCAGCAGGGCCATTAAGCTGAGAAAACACCAAGTTACAGCTCTGTCTCCTGTTCACAGCCAGGTGTCCTGACAAGCAATTCCCTCCTTGTGGGTGAGTGGCACCTCTATAAACCCTCTGACAGTTTGGGAGACAAACTCTGCCATCAATCAGAATGTAGCTATCAGGTTCACTTACAGCCTGTGCCCCCGAACCCTGCCAACGCCCCCGCCCCCACGTACATGCAGCTCAGCAGTCAGCCTCCCATCTTTGCCTCAGCCTGGCCCTGCCCAGCCCTGCCTGGTAAGTGGACAAAAAGGAAAGCAAAGAATCCATGGCAAAGCTGATAAAACAGGGTACCCCAAAGATGCCAGGAAAGGTCCCAGTTTCTCAACACAGAAAGTAGCCCTATGGCCTGAAGTCCTCTCCTCTGACAGGCCTAGAACAGGACTCATACTCCAGCAGACCATAGCTACTGTGCTTTCCCCAACCCTACGTGTTTGCTCGTGTTCCTGTGCTTTTGTACATCTTATTACCTCTTCTCCCTCCTGGTCTACAAAACAAATGCCTACTTGTTCTGCAAGTCTGACCTAGCTCAACCACGCTTCCTGCTAGGAACTCACAGTGCCTATATGCATAGCTGCTCCAGAAATACTTCCGCAATGAACTCACCTCAGGAATATTCTTTCAGCCTTTACTGAGCTCATCCTCTGCCTGGGTTGGCATTGGAGACAAAGAATTTCAAGATGTGATCCCCACCCTCAAGGTGCTCAGTGTGGAGACTTCCCCAGGTATTTCTATACAGATAGGTGTCCTTTCCTTGGTGTCCACATGGACTCCTATGGAACTCCAAAGTCATTACATGTATTGTCATGGTCCCTCACCGACTGAAAGCCCAGGTCTGACTCACTACTGTGATCTCAGCACCATCCAGCAGAGCTGGCCAGGCCCAGAGCAGGTGCTATACAAGACACCCCAGCAGAAATGACTAACCACTGATGATACTGTTCTACTAAGTGCTGAGAGCCCTGCGTCAGAAAGGAGGCTGAGGTGTGAAGCCACTCAGGATACAACCTTTCCTATCAGCTTCCCCCAGCTGGGTGGTAACCTCCTGCTCCTCTGACCAGCCAGGCAGGACAGAGAGCATGGCACATCTTATCTGCCAAGGAAAAGGCCTGTCTCTGGTCTGAGCAGTTCATTCTGACCCTGACCCCATCCTGCAGTGGAGACAGATGTTGGGAACTTCTTCCTACCCCCACAGGTGTTCAGAACGGGCTGCCACTGCCAATTTCCCTCTTATGCTGCCCCAGCCTGCTCCAACCTCCTTCCCAGCACATTAAACTTTATTTTCTTAATGAAATGTCACTTGCTGACTTCTGGCAGAATCATAATAAAAAGAAACGGCCATAAAGCCATTTTACGCAGACAGCGCCCCCACCAGCTTGCCCCCCCCTTCCCTGGTTTGAGAGGAAAGCTCCACAGTCATTTTATGTTCTCAGCTGCTGGCACATCCCAAGCCAGTACTCAGAGGCAAGATGGCACACAGAGCTCCTTTCCAAGCCTCTGGCTCCTGTTCTGTATAGCTCTGGGGATAACAAGCAAGCTGCCACTCCTGCTGCTGCTATCCAGGGAAGAGACTCAGCTCCCTGGACCTCCAAGATGACCTGGAGTACCCTTTAGTCAGCAGGGGAGGCCCCTTGCTATGGCTCAGCCCCACCTAAAGTAGCACAATGTGTTGGGCTGCTGTCTATAAGCAAACTGAGCCTGATGGTCAATGACACTCAGCAGAGTGGGTTCTGGGAGGGTGGGCAGTGTGAAAAAATCCCTTCCCTGCAAATGAATACTTAGCAACAGAGAAAAAGAGGATTCGGTACAGAAATGATAAGCAAGTCTAAATTTTATAAAAATGACCCCTCTCCCATAAACTCATTTCTTCCTGGCTCATTGAGGAGAAGAAAAAAAAAAATCAGTGTTAATTTAATCAATTGATTAGGTGATCGATTGAGAAACTGGAGATGCCCGTTTACTGGGGGCACTAACGTCCTGGAACCTGAAACCACAAAAAAAAGGAGCCATCAATTTCCTCACCTGCTGCTCCTAACAAAACCAGAGCCCAGGGAGAAAGGAAAGTCTTGGGGCCCTCCAGAGGCTGTGCTCTTGTGGCGGGGGCGGGGGGGTTGTGTGTGTGGGGAGGAGACAGGGGCAGCAGCTTCCGGAGAGTTTTACACTGGAATTAGTTACAGATGCAGTTACGGTGTCTTGTGTAAACGCCATCGATTGGGGAGCTGACAGTCTGGGGAGCTGCGATGCGGGACAATCAATCGGCCTGCAGTGTCACCTGCCACCTCGCTGAACAGTTGACAATGCAATTATCCAGTGTGGAGGCAGGGAGTTGGCGTGTGTCAAACGCACTTAGCCACTTTCCGGGCCTCCTCAATAACGCGTTTCACTGCCTCACGTCAGGAGAGACGCAGAGAGACAGACGCCGTTTAAAACCATTGATACTTGCTCCTTCTGCCTGCACTCCCTCTGTCCCAGCTTAACAATTGTGTTCCAAAAGGCGATTAAATCCCCATCAGTTGCCACAGGGGACAGAGGTGCCCTGCTCTTTGCCACCTCTTCTCACCCCTCCCACCAGGCGACAGTTATAACTAAAGGTGGTAGGGAGCTGGAAGGCAGCAGCCCTAACCCTCTCCATATCAAGACTGCCTCCAGCAGTCGGCTGTTCCAACACCTGTCACTGACCAGACAAGGCAGCACGGCTGCACTGGGGAACATTTTTAGCAGCTGGGGCTCCCACTTTCTGGGAACTAACATGCCAAAGGGAGCAGGGGCTAGGGGAAGGCCTACTTCTCTGTGCCCTTGGACTCACAAAACCTCTCATTCCCTGACTCAGAATCTCGTGAAGTTTTAGCAAGCAACAGCCAGTTAAAAAATCTGTGCCACAGCTACCCTGCCTGTCCTCTCCATGAGATCTCATCCCAGACTACTTGGAAGCAGCCTAAATCCAAGACAGGAACCTGAGAAAGATGCAGTCCCAAGGCTAGGATCTGGGCAGGGCAGAGGCCTGAAGAGCAGTTCTCTTAGTCTCCATAGTCTCCCTCCCCTCCACCTGTTTGCTTCAAAGGGGCTCAGTGCTGGATTCTAGTAATGTGTTTCCCCGCCAGGGCTCAGAGAGACAGCTGCAGCACCTTCTATTTCCTGTGCAGCCTCCTGGGAAATTTTTCCATCTTGCCACTCTTGTGCCTGCCACATCACTGTCACCTTATCTGAAATCAACCATTCCTATGTCCTCTCTCCAGCCTGTCCACTCCAGATATGATGGGCTCCAGGCTCCCCAAATCCAGCTGGGTGAACTTTCACTGGCAACCAATCCAGGGGAGGGATCAAAGCTCAACATGAGTCTCTTCTCTAGGACCCAGGACTGGAGACAGAAAATGAGGAAAGGTGTGGTTCGTCTGTCACATACCTTCTTGACTACAGGTTGGAGTACGTTTGTCCTCAAGGGCTGTATAATTAGGTTTTCCCTGGGCCTGCTACTCTAGCCCAGAGGCTTCTTGCTCTGCTCAGGGCTGGCATGGTGCCCCAGAAGAGTATCTTTTACTCCTAGCTGCTGAACTCTCTCAGGGGAATGTTGGTGAAGCACTAGGCCCTGTGCCACCCTCTATGCAACTATAATGCTGGGTGGGAGGAAACAGCAGTAGCAGGTTAGCAAACCTAAGGTACTGAGAGGTCCAACAGCTTAGGCACACAGTCCAGAATTTCTGAGAACTAAGAAGGCCACAGTATTTCCTAGACACTGAAAGTTTTAGGTCTTCCAACCTACTCTCTTGAAATCTTTATTTTCTTTAGCCTCTTAAAGATCTATGTCCAGCTGGACCTATCTTGGTGCTTACCTGTTCTGTCTGGTCCTTCATTTTGTTCTAAAGTTCCAATGCCAAACACTCCTGGGCCTGAGCTATCCGGTCTTGCCCTCAATAGCCATAGGTCCAACTGCAAGGCCCGTTCCCCTCAGTCAAGTGTCTCCACCAAAACTCTCGCTTGTTCACTGGCTCCACAGCAGATTATGTTCAAGGTAACAGATCTGCTCCATCAAACCAGTTCCCAGTGGGCCTGGTGGGAAGCTTTGCTGAGGATGACGAAGGGGCCCTCGTCTGGGGGAAGGAATAGGGGATGATCGGATACAGGAACTTATCTGCAATTCTTCAATTCTTTCATATCTAACAAGGACAGCAATCTCTGTTCTGTCAGCACGCACAGCGCAGCTTAAATGGGCCTCACTGCTCGCCTGCTCATCCTGCCTCTGCTCCCTCTCTCTGAAGTCGGCTGGGCAGCTTCTTCAGCCGGCGTTATCACTCCCTCTAACCGGTCTTGGCAGGCAATCTAATTCCTCCTGAAAAGGTCACCGCCATTTTAACTGCCTTTCAATCACATTAAGCACGCGCTGCCCGGCTTGCGGCCCGGCCCGCCCGGCGGGCGATCAATGCACCACACTGACACCAGCCCGCCTGGCGGGGCCACACCCAACCCCCCAAGAGTTGGGGCCTACCAGTCCTGGCCAGGGAGTGTAGACTGACAGATGGCCAGTTTCTGCAGACAGGGTTTCAGGGGGCAGAGGCAGTCGGGATCAACCAGGGCCTCCTTTGATGCCCCCCCCACTGAGGAGCCTCAGCCTCCTCTGCTCCACTGTGCCCCGCTCTCTGCCTCGTGGCCCCCGCTGATCTTGCTGTAAAACAGCCTTTCAAGTCTGCCTGTCTTTTGACTGCACTAAGCTGTTTAAGAGGCAGCAGCGGCTTCTATCAGGCAAGCTGGAACCATTCTCTGCAGATAAAGGCACCTCCGGCCCTGCTCCCTCTTCAAGCCTCACTCTCATTCTCGCTCTCCAAATCGCTCAAAGAAAAGCCCCCTTTGAACTCCCCTCAGGAATTCTTGAAAGGAACAACCTCATAGTGTAAACACTCAGGGAAAACTGACACCCGCCCAGGGCCTAAGAGCACCGCACACCGGCTCTGCAAGTGCATCCCAGCGCGGGGAAATACTGTCAAATCAGCAGGCCTTATGCAGCTTTATCCCCTGTAAGCCTTGTCTGGTGCCCAGAAACCATCAGGTCCAGATCTGTGCCAAGAAACCTAAGAAGTTGCCACAGTAATAGAAGGCGTGAGTATTTCCAGCTGCCAACAGAGCGAACCCAGAGCAGCATCCTGCAATTGACCCTGCATGGGCTGTCACCAGACACCTGCGTGTACCATTCCCAGGATCCTGGTCTTTGCCCCTCATCTTCTCAGGGCCTCAGGCACTCTAAAACTCTGGGACAGGACAACAGCGAAGTGGCAAATGAACTCTCCACTCAGGCTCGGGCAATGGTTTGGGCTGATTTACCTTCCTGATTTATACTCTGGCTTGCTCCAAATGCTTGGAGAATGAGAGAAACCCAGAAGCATAATGCCCCACCTGGGCTTGCCCCCCTTCACGTATCCAGTCTGCACTGCACGGCACTATGGAGACCACTCCTCAAAACCAGCCCATGCAGCAAAGCCCCCATAAGTCAGACACCCTCTTCCCAGCTGCTGTGAGATTCCCCGGGGACCAAACACACCAGGACTCCCAAGGGTGTTGCCCAGAGAATTGGAGGCAGATGGGAAGCAGATTGGTTCACTTAATGATTGTAAGGTGCAGAGCCAGCTGTGCTTGTGCACAGAGAGCCGGAGGCCAGGAGGCAAACTGCTTCCCTTTCCTCCTGCCCAAAGCAGGGGAGTCTGACAAGAGGACACGACCCTGGGCATCCAACCTGTGTACTGTTTGACCTGGTGAGGGGTGGGAGACTTCCACTGAGCGAAGTCATATCCCTCCAAGGAGCTGGGAGGGTAATGGAGCTGTGCAAAGCCCTGTAGACCCCTCTGCAGCAACTGGGGAGCCCAAGGGAAGCAAGGAGCAGCTGGGCCCAGGCCCCTCTTGCTTCAGGGCAGAGGGCACCCAGGGAGAAGGGATGGGATCAGAGCTAAAATTAGATTCACCAATGAAGCTCAGGGGAGGTCAAATTTTGCCATAACTCACTCTCTCCTCTGTAACTGATTTCCCTGACGTGGGGTTGAGGAGGAGGAGGAAAATCCAATGTGTTTGCCTGGAAGCCCTGAGGGCCCCCAGTGCTGGAGGTGTACAGCAGGTTGCTGGATTCTCATTTATCAGCCTTAAGAGGGATGGAGTGATAAATGCATAACCGTCCCTTTAATATTTTATGCAGGTGCTAACGCGGCTTGGCTGTCACCTTCAATGCATCACCCGAGGCTGAGAGCCCCCCTCGTCATTCCTAGCTTGCAGCCTCACAATTCCATTTCCCCACCCAAATACATCCATTTTAATATGCACATCACAGGCAGGCAGCACGGTCACAAAGGAGCCCCGCCAGCAGCAGTTCCCACGTGGTGGAACGGATGACCAGCCACCAGCCCTGGCCTCTTGGCTCCCAACAGATGGATACCCAGCAGAGGCCTGGCCACCAGAATGCCACTGCTTATGTGTCAGCTGCTTGTACCTCGGAAACCACCTTCCAGGAGAGTGGTGGCCCGTATCCGCTTCTGCCCGCACCACTCATATTCCTCAAAGCGGTTGCTATTCTCATGCTCGATGTCCACAGCATCGTCCTCAGCCACACAGGAGCCTTCCCTCTGTGAAGAGCAGAGTAGGATCATGTGGGTCCCAGGCCACCACTACCTGCTCCCCAGGGTCTACGAGGAGGGCATAGCCCTAACCTCCAGCTTTGGTGAGCCAGGTGGGCCTCCAGATCTAGGGTCCCTTTCACATAAACCAATCTGGAGGTCGAAGACCTGGGCCTCTTCCCAATTATTTTCCATTGGAGCCCCAGGGGAGGAGCGGAAGAGTGAAAGCAAAGGAAGAGGGCAAAGAACAGAGAGGAAAAAGCTGCTGAGACCACATGGAGACCCCAACACAGCCCATAAATCTGGGGGTAGTCAGCAGCTAGTGTAGGGGAAGGGAGGGAGGAAGGGGTGAAGAGGTAGGTAGTGATGGCCCCTCTACCTTAGAAAGGCAATGCTCCACATGCCTACTCATCTCCTGCTCCGATCCTGCCAGGGGGCGGTTGCACAGGGGACATACCTGCCCTTCATCTTGCTTCCTCCGTTTCATTTTCCCAATCCGAGCTGCATGGAGAAACCGAAAACAAAGCACAGAACAGGCGAACGGTCACTGTAGCTCCCCTGGTCCCAGTGGAGCTGACACATCCTGACCCCTTGCCAGCCATCAGCCCTTTTGTTCAGTGCCTGATCTGGCCCTCATTATGCAGCGCCTTCTGCTCCTTTGGGGACCGAGCCTTGCCAAGAGCACCTGGGGAGGAGGCTGGTGGTAGGCCAGTGAAGTGTCCACTCTGGCCACAGCTGGCTCAAGTTCAATCCATACTTCCCTACCTGCAGCCTTCAGTAAGTCCAGTGAGCAAAGACATTCCAAGTTGCTAGATATCTGCCCAGAAACCCAAGACCATGGGCTCTCTTAAAGAACATCTCTTGGCTAGAACCCAAGGTCCCTCCAGGGGCCTGATTTGGCCTGCTGTTCACTCATCACCCTTTTTTTTGTTCCAGGGCCAAGGGCCCTGAGGTACAGCCCTTAGTATCCTACCTAGAATCCCTCAGGAAGATTTCCTCTCATGTCCAGGTACCATTAA